TTTTTTTATTTTATTTTTTTTTTTTGAGACGGAGTTTCACTCATGTTACCCAGGCTGGAGTGCAATGGCGCGATCTAGGCTCACCGCAACCTCTGCCTCCTGGGTTCAGGCAATTCTCCTGCCTCAACCTCCTGAGTAGCTGGGATTACAGGCACGCACCACCATGCCCAGCTAATTTTTTGTATTTTTAGTAGAGATGGGGTTTCACCATGTTGACCAGGATGGTCTCGATCTCTTGACCTTGTGATCCACCCGCCTCGGCCTCCCAAAGTGCTGGGATTACAGGCTTGAGCCACCGCGCCCAGCCCCGTCATTTTTTAAGATAGGGTTTCACCATGATGGCCAGGCTGGTCTTGAACGCCTGACCTCAGGTGATCCACCCACCTTGGCCTCCGAAAGTGCTGGGATTACAGGCGTGATCCACTGCACCCTGCTGGCTTATTTTATTTTTTTAAGACAGAGTCTTGCTGTGTTGTCCAGGCCAAGTGTAATGGTGTGATCTCTGCACACTGCAACCTCTGCCTCCCAGGTTCAAGCGATTCTCCTGCCTCAGCCTCTGGAGTAGCTGGGATTACAGGCATGCACCACCAGGCCCGGTTAATTCTTGCATTTTTAGTAATGACGGAGTTTCACCATGTTGGCCAGGCTGGTCTCGACCTCCTGACCTCAGGTGATCCGCCTTCCTCGGCCTCCCAAAGTGCTGGGGTGACAGGCATGAGCCCTGGGCCCAGCCTGAGTTGTATTTGAATGGCCACGTTGTGCTGATCCACCTACCTGTTGATGGACACCTGGGTTGCTTCCACCCTCCATCTGTTGTGAGTGAACACGGTGTACAGGTTGACGTGCCTCTTCCTCTCCATCTGTGTCACCTCTCCCCGAAGCCAGCTGCTCTGTGTTGGAGAGTGGGCCCTGAGCCACCTCGTGGCACCTGGGCAGTGCCCAGCGTGTTGGAGGCACTCGGTGCTCACTGGGAGAACAGAGGGGCTGAAGCAGGTGTTGGTGGGTTCTCGACGTCCACGGGGGGTTTCGGAGCAGCCCCTGAAACCATTGTAGCTGCAGGTGGGTGTGTACGTGTTCAAATCCAGCCTGGGCAACACAGCCAGACCCCATCTCTACAAAAAATTACCTAGGCATAGGTGATGTGTGCCTGTGGTCCCAGCTACTCAAGAGTCTGAGGCAGGAGGATCGCTTGAGCCCAGGGTTCGAGGCTGCAGTGAGCAGTGATTGTGTCAGTGTTCTCCATCCTGGGCAACAGTGAGATAGTTTCTCAAAAAATAAAAAATAAAAAAATCAAGCCAGGTATAGTGGGTCGTGCTTGTGAAGTAATCCCAGCTCTTTGGGAGGCCGAGATGAGTGGATCCCTTCAGCTTAGGAGTTTGATAAGCCATACGTGGTAGCTCATGCCTGTAGTCCCAGCTCAGGCGGCTGAGGCACAAGAATCGCTAGAACCCGGGAGACGGAGGTCGCAGTGAGCTGAGATGGCACCAGTGCACTCCAGCCTGGAAGACAGAGCGAGACACCATCTCAAAAAGAAAAGGAATTTTCTTCTGGAAAAGAGGAGTCAGCCTTCATCAGGTTCTCAGGTTAATGGTGAGCAAAGAAAGAAAGTCTGCAGAGAAGGGCCTTGGCCTTCACCGTGACCCCGACGCTGTTTGCATATGAGCAGCCCTCAGGCCTTGGAACCCCAAGGGGCGGGAGGAGGAAGAGCTAACATTCCCTGTCTCTCTCCTCCCTTTGCCTAAGGATACTCCTGAACCAGACACATGGTGATGTCTGCGGGACATCTGTGGTTGTCATGACAGGGTGGAGGCCAGGGATGCTGCTCAGCCCTCTGCAGTGCCCAGGATGGCCCTACTGTCCGGTGCACAAAGGGGGAGACCTGCCTCTCCCCAGTGTGGTCGGCCCTTACTTCAGCCATGCGGAGGCTGAAAAACCCGTGTTAACTGCATGGAGACTGAGTCCAATCCTGCTCACACCAGGTACCAAGATAAACTCCTGGTGGGGCAGACGGTAGAAACCGGGGGACCCCCAGCTCCCGGGATTCACCTCTTCTCTCCCTCCCTACTCAGTGTGTGGGTTTCAATGTGTGCAGCCTCCTGAGACCTTAGCAGGGCAGAGCATTGTGGGATAAGGATCTCAGCCGGGCATGGTGGCTCACGCCTATAATCCCAGCACTTTAGGAGGCCAAGGTGGGTGGATCACGAGGTCAAGAGATCGAGACCAGCCTGGCCAACATGGCGAAACCCGTCTCTACTAAAAATACAAAAATTAGCTGGGCGTGGTGGCGCGCCTGTTGTCCCAGCTACTCGGGAGGCTGAGGCAGGAGAATCGCTTGAACCCGGGAGGTGGAGGTTGCAGTGAGTCGAGATCACGCCACTGCACTCCAGCCTGGGTGACAGAGTGAGACTCCATCTCAAAAAAAGTTCTCTTGGGGACCTGTGGAACCCCTAACCAGGGGTTCTCGCCCAGGGTGGTTTTTATACCCTCCCTGTACTACTGGATGATGTCTGGGGACATCTGTGGTTGTCACAGTATGGGGAGTTCCTGGCGTGAAGTAGGCGGAGTCCAGGGAATCCGCTCAGGTTGGGACAGTGGCCAGGACGGCCCCACCCCAGAGAATGATCCAGGACCTGGCCCCATTGTCCATGGTGCCAGGGCAGAGGAACTTGTTTTTTGGGGGGCATCTAGATGGCAAACCACCAGGAGGGGTCCTTGTCCGGTGCTGGTGGAGCGTGGAGGGGTGGCTTCCGACAAAATGCCTTGGCTTCTCCGTCTGCCAGCCAGGGCTCAGGTGACGAGCTCCTCCTTGCACACCTGCTGAGCCAGGAGACCTGGGGACAGGCTGTGGAGCCAGGCTGGAGATGGGCCCCAGGGGATGGGGGCATCAGGATAAAAGCTCTCTCGGGAACGGGTGGAGCTCAGGGTCGGAGGAGCTGCTGTGGCGGACGCGATTGGAGCTGCAGCCTTACCCAGGAAGCTCATGATGCTGGCACGTGCTTCCTGCCGTCCGGGCGGGACAGGGTCTCTCCCTCTGGGCACTGGACAGTGGGGCCGTTCTGGGTACTGCAGGGTGCTCAATGGTGACCCTGGCCTCCACCCACTCCATACCAGGGGCTTCCCCCAGTGGGGACAACCACAGATGTCCCAGACGTGGCCCAGCATCCCCCGGGGTCTGAATTGTGTTTGGTTGAGAACCAGGGACGAAGGTGACACGTGTTCGCTGTAACACAAAAGCTGCCATCAACACGATGGAGGAGAAACTCCCGAGACCCTGGTGTGTGCGTGGTGCCCCCTCGATGCTCTTTTGTGCTCCTGGGTGCGCCCTGCAGGTGGTAGCAGCAGCCTTCGCTAGAGGGGCCCAGGGCCCTGACGGGAGGGGCTGCCGTGCCACTGGTGAGCAGGACTGCCCCCTGGCATGGCGCAGGTCTCACGGCCCTTTGATGCAGATCGTCCCCCGCACCCACAGACGGCCGCCTGGCGCTAGGTGGCCGAACACCCTCTGCCTCTGATGTCCCTGCAGATGGAGGACGGCCACACTCTCTTTGACTATGAGGTCCGCCTGAATGACACCATTCAGCTCCTGGTCCGCCAGAGCCTTGTGCTCCCCCACAGCGCCAAGGAGCGGGACTCTGAGCTCTCCGACACCGACTCCGGGTGCTGCCTGGGCCAGAGTGAGTCGGACAAGTCCTCCACCCACGGCGAGGCGGCCGCTGAGACCGATGGCAAAGCGGGCCTGGCGGACAAGGACATGTGGGATGAGACGGAGCTGGGGCTGTACAAGGTGAGCCTCCTCTCCGCAGCCCCTTTGGGGTCTGCCGTTCTCCCTGCCGTTCTGGTCTTTGCATACCCAGGGCCCACGGGAGGGGCTTCCCATACCCCTCTCCAGCTCCGGGTGGGCAGGAATGGCCAAGAGGTGGTTCCCTGCTTGTTCCTTGAGCGGGGACATGGTACCCTGGGATTCCTTTGTGGCCCACCAGAGCAGAGTCCTGTGTGGGGGCCTGCACGTGTCTTCTCTGTGAACCTTGCAGTACCTGTGACATTTGTGAATTGCTGCCACCACCTACCTAAGATCAGGAAATGCCACAGAAAGATCTGGGTTTCCAGTGTTTTTCTTTATTTTCTTTCTTTGAGAGGGTCTCACTTTGTCACCCAGCCTGGTGTGCAGTGGTGTAATCAGCTCACTGCAGCCTTGAAGTCCTGGGCTCAAGTGATCCTCCCACCTGGTATTACAGGTGTGTGCCACCATGCCCAGCTGATTTTATTTATTTGTTTATTTATTTATTTAGAGACGGAGTCTTGCTTTGTTGCCCAGGCTGGAGTGCAGTAGTGTGATCTCGGCTTACTGTAACCTCTGCCTCCCAGGTTCAAGTGATTCTGATGCCTCAGCCTTCCTAGTAGCTGGGATTACAGGCACCTGCCACCATGCCTGGCTCATTTTTGTGGTTTTGCACTCCAGCCTTTTTTTTGAGACGGAGTTTCACTCTTGTTACCCAGGCTGGAGTGCAATGGCGCGATCTCGGCTCACCGCAGCCTCCGCCTCCTGGGTTCAGGCAATTCTCCTGCCTCAGCCTCCTGAGTAGCTGGGATTACAGGCACGCGCCACCATGCCCAGCTAATGTTTTGTATTTTTAGTAGAGACGGGGTTTCACCATGTTGGCCAGGATGATCTCGATCTCCTGACCTTGTGATCCTCCTGCCGGGGCCTCCCAAAGTGTTGGGATTACAGGTGTGAGCCACTGCACCTGCCCTGTTTTATTTCAATTTATTTATTTTTTTGAGACAGAGTCTCACTCCGTCACCAGGCACCAGGCTGGAGTGCAGTGCCACGACCTCGACTCACTGCAACCTCTGCCTCCCGGGTTCAAGCAATCCTCCTGCCTCAGCCTTCTGAGTAGCTGGGACTACAGACGAACACCACCACGCCCAGCTAATTTTTTTGTACTTTTAGTAGAGACGGGATTTCACCATGTTGGCCAGGCTAGTCTGGAACTCCTGGCCTCAAGTGATCCTCAGCCTGCCACGGTGCTGGGATTATTGTGAGCCACGGCACCCAGTCTGTTTTATCTTTTAGCAGACACAGGGTCTTACTATGTTGCCCAGGCTTGTCTTGAATTCCGGGCGCAAGCGATCCCCATGCCTGGGCCTCCCAGAGTGCTGGGGTTCTAGGTGTGAGCCACCACGCCCGGCCTGGATTTCCAGCTTATCTTGACAAATGGGCAGCTCTGGTGTCAGGGCCTCCCAGCAGCTGTGGCTGTAGCTGAGCAGCAGGGGCCTTTGCTAAGACCGTCCGTGCCCCCGGCCCCCCACACCTGTCATCCGTGCTGAGCTGGGTTTCTCATGGGTGGTGGTTCCCAGCCTGGAAGAGAGACCCTGCTGTAGGCATTCGTGTGTGAACCCTGGTTCCGGGGCATCCCAGCGTCCGAGGACCGAGGGGGATACCAGCGTCCCCTCGTTCCCTGCAGGTCAATGAGTACGTCGATGCGCGGGACACGAACATGGGGGCGTGGTTTGAGGCGCAAGTAGTCCGGGTGACGCGGAAGGCCCCCTCCCGGGACGAGCCCTGCAGCTCCACGGCCAGCCCGGCGCTGGAGGAGGATGTCATTTACCACGTGAAATACGACGAGTGAGTCCTGCGGGGGGCGGGCCTGGGCACTCGGGGTCTGTGGCGCACGGCCTTGGCTGCGGGTGTCCAGGCCAGAGCCTGGCACTGTCCCGAGATGGCAATCAGGGTCTGGGGCCCCACCCTGTGTTCCTAAATGGCACACAAGGCTGCCCACTCAGGGACCAGCCTGGGGACCCGAAGCCGGCTGCTCCCCCCTGGGTCTCCTGGCAGGGGTCTGCTCTGCTCTGCTCAGCTGTTAAAACTGCCACCCCATCGGTTTTTCTGGTGGCTTTTTGTTTCTTTTTATGTGAGATGAAGTCTCACTCTCGCCCAGGCTGGAGTGCAGTAGTGCCATCCTGGCTCACTGCAACCTCCACCTCCCGGGTTCAAGCAGTTCTCCTGCCTCAGTGTCCTGAGTAGATGGGACTGCAGGCGCACGCCACCATGCCCAGCCGATGTTTTTTTTTTTTGTTTGTTTGTTTTTTTGTATTTTTAGTAGAAACTGGGTTTCACTGTGTAACCCAGGATGGTCTCAATCTCCCGACCTCGTGATCCGCCCGCGTCGGCCTTCCAAAGTGCTCGGATTACAGGCGTGAGCCACGTGCCCGGCCCAGATTTTCTGTTTTATTCCTTCTTCTGGGCTTGTCATCTCTCTCTCGTTCCAACCTGACGTCACTCTCCAGTCCTTACACAAGTGTTTACTGGGCACTTCCACTCTGTCGCCAGGCTGGAGTGCAGTGGTGCGATCTCGGCTCATGGCAACCTCCGCCTCCCGGGTTCAAGGGATTCTCCTGCCTCAGCCTTCTGAGTAACTGGGACTACAGGCGCCCACTACTACACTTGGCTAAATTTTGTATTTTTAATTTAATTTTAATTTTAATTTTAATTTTAATTTTAATTTTTTGAGACAGTCTCTCTCGGTTGCCCAGGCTGGAGTGCAGTGGCGACATCTTGGCTGACTGCAACCTCTGCCTCCCAGGTTCAAATGATTCTCCTGCCTCAGCCTCCCAAGTAGTTGGGATTCCAGGCGCCTGCCACCATGCCCGGTTACTTTTTGTATTTTTAGAAGAGAGGGGATTTCGCTGTGTTGGTCAGGCTGGTCTTAAACTCGACCCCAGATGATGCACCTGCCTCGGCCTCCCAAAATGTTGGAATTATAGGCGTGAGCCACCATGCCTGGCCTCTCCTCTCGTTCTAAAGACACCAGTCCTGTTGGATTGGGGCCCACCCTACTGCAGTATGATCTCGTGTTGATACGATTTCATCTGCAAAGCTTCTACCTACAGCAACCCCGTTTTCAAAAACGGTCCTCTTTGTGGGTGCTGGGGATCAGGGCTTAAACATCCCTTTTTGCAGGGGACATGGGCAACCCATAACAAGTCTGTACCTGGAACATGCCATACATAGCTGTGTGTTCTCAACACCAGCCGATGAGCCTGTTGGGAGGGGTCCCTCTGCTCACTGCTGCGGGCGGCTGTCTCCACCTCGGCTCGCTTCCCGTTGAGGGAACCAGGCTTGGTGTTACTGTGGGATCTAAGGCTGGGGCTTTCCTCCCAGTTACCCGGAGAACGGCGTGGTCCAGATGAGCTCCAGGGACGTCCGAGCGCGTGCCCGGACCATCATCAAGTGGCAGGACCTGGAGGTGGGCCAGGTGGTCATGCTCAACTACAACCCTGACAACCCCAAGGAGCGGGGCTTCTGGTACGACGCGGAGATCTCCAGGAAGCGCGAGACCCGGACGGCGCGGGAACTCTACGCCAACGTGGTGCTCGGGTGAGCCTCGCGGTCCCGGGGGCGAGGCCGCCCTGTCTCCTTTCCTCCCTTCCCGGCTGCCCAGCCCCTTTCGGGGTCCCCGGAGGGGGTCTGAAGCCGTCCAGCCAGCGCTGTGTGTGCGAGGCCCTTGGCCTCCGGCCTGGCCTTCCTGCCTCCCCTCTGGCGTCCAGTCCTTGCTCTGCTCACTGCCAAGGATCTAAGGCCAACCAACTGCGCCCCTGGGGGCCTCTGCCCAGGGAACCGTCTCCCACCCCCCGTCCCTGACAGGCACCGTTGAGAAGCTTCCTTTTTCTCTCTCCTGTTTGTTTCAAGTTTGGCGAATGGGTCCCATTTACTGGGTCAAATTTCAGAAAGCACCCAAGACCACACGTGAAGATTCTCCCTCCTTTACCTGGTCACCCAGCTCCCCTTTCTGGCGACACCACCGTTACCAGTACTGTCCAGGAACGTTCTGTTCATAAACATACACATCAAACCACATGGTTTAGGAGAGGCAAACTGCCGTCCACGCCCGTTCGGGGCCTCCGCCTGCTTGGACAAAATAGTTTTATTGGGACGTAGCCACGCCCATTTTCATCTTACTACCCGTGGTTGCTTTTTTGTGTTAAAAGGGCAGAGTTGCATAGTTGCCACAGAGATTCTGTGGCCTCCAAAGCTGAAAATACTTCTTTCTGGCCCTTTGCAGAGCCCTGTTCTTCCTTGCCTTGTGTGTGTGTGTGTGTGATAAACCGTATGTAACAGAAAATGTACTTTTTTTTTTTTTTTTTTTGAGACGGAGTCTCACTCTGTCACCAGGCCACAATGCAGTGGCGTGATCTCGGCTCACTGCAACCTCCATATCCCAGGTTCAAGTGATTCTCCTGCCTCAGCGTCCCAAGTAGCTGGGACTGCATGCATGTGCCACCACGCCCAGCTAATTTTTGTATTTTTAGTAGAGACGGGATTCCACCATGTTGGCCAGGATGGTCTCGATCTCTTGACCTCATCATCTGCCTGCCTCAACCTCCCGAAGTGCTAGGATTACAGGTGTGAGCCACTGTGCCCGGCCTTTTTTTT